TTTTGTTAGATAGGGATGGTGTGTGGGTTTCAGAAGTCCCATTCTCCCAGCTATTCTTTCACTGATATCATGTCAATTATTTTAGCCTGTAAACTCAATAGACCTATTTTTGAATCAGGAAAACCAGTATTCATACACCTGTGAGTGTATCCATATTATAAAATGTTTTCTTCCCACGTTTTATTTCTTATTTTTCATCTGATTTCTCAAGTTTTAATTCACTTTATTTTGTTGTTTTCATTTGACCTTTACTTACATTTTATTTTAGTTTATTGTTACGTGAAACTGTTCTATCTGTTCACTTTAGTTCTGTCCTACTGTCAGCTTGTCAATCGTCTAACAGCACTTTGAGCTGAGCGTACGAAAGGTGTTTTACAAGTTAAGTTTGATTGATGGATTGTTTGAATAATTTGCATCAACTTTTACTTATTGTAAGTAAATGATCGGAATACTTCCTCCACCTCTGGAGAGTTTCACTTTTTTGTGTTATCTGTAAAGTTATTGTGAGTTGCAAGAGCATAAACAGTACGACACTGATGACCTTGATGTTTACTGGTAAAACCTGAGCCACACCCAGTGTGAGAGGCTTATAAAGAGAGAGGAGCTGAGCACCTGCAGCATCCAGCATCAGACGCCTGCTACAACAGGTAACTTGCTCTAATCGCCTTCTTTTTCTCTCTATTCTCACCTTACTGATTTAGTATTTACTACATTTGCCAGACTTAATCTTTAATGACCAAACACTGGTCAGATTTCTACTGCATTTTCAGATTTGAAGTTTAACTGTAGAGGACCACCATGATGATCCCGGTTTTCCTTCTCGCCCTCCTCTCACTGACGTTCATTCCTTCGGTAAGTTTGAATCTTTCGACACACAGACATTGATGTCAAACACCACCTGCTCTCCTGGTGAAAACCATGGAGCTTCAAAATGTTAACATAATATGAACTTGAAGAATAAAACAGTCTTGATATGTGTCGCTGCATGTCATTGTGTTGCAGGAGTGTGCAGACTCATTAGATTTCATGATCGACGGAGCGCATTCAGTTCAAAGTAAAAAAAAAAAGTTTTGTGTGTTCTTCTCAGTGTACATTTAACATGTGGATCATTTACAAATTCACTTTCAGCTCCTGGTTTGTAGTTTCTGTTTTCTCTCTTTGCCTCCAGACAGCACTATGAGCTCATCTAAAATGATTGAACGTACCAATGTTAACTCATGTAAGTGAGCATAAATGTGTAATTACATTCATCTTACCAACATATGTTTGTTTGTTTAACTAAATAAAAAATTGTAATCAGAAAAACACATTTGATAATATAAAAAAATGTTAGCTCGTTGGGTTTCATATAAAAACAGGCATGTCTATAGATCATGTAGATTCCTGCTTTGAATATTCATTAAAATTTCTCTTTGTTGTTTTGCAGCACATCTGGTACATGGTGACATCAAGCCAAATACCAACAAGAACGCCGTCCCCTGCACAGCCACTGGCTGCAAGTGGCCTAAAAGTGGATCCTATGTCATTGTGCCTGTTGCCATCTCCGCTGACTACAGTAAGTCACATTAACTTAACCTTCGATGTCATCTTTGTTTGGTTGCACTGAGAACTACAAACATTTAAGATGATCATATACAAACTAAACTCTTTCAGTAGTTGGTATAAATTCTGTCTTAACATGCTGCAACTGTTGTTTGTAGTTGGATTCACCTGAACAAACAAACAAATAATACAAAGTCTTTTAGCCTTTGTTGGTTTTATTTGTCTCACTTGAAAATCTGTTGACAAGTAGTTTTGTTTACTACAGTTCACTACACTGTTTTGGAAAACAATATTTATGTCTACTAATTAAAGAAAAGTATCGGAATAACTTTCTCCTTATTTAAAATTTGATTTAAAAAAACGTACGGAAATGAAGACACTTTCTTACTGAGCTTTGTGTTTACCAGTTGAGATTCAGAACAGATGAGGAATTATTGGGAAAACTGATTCCTAAGGAAAATGTGAGTTGTGCCTATAGGAAGCGTATGTCACCTGTTCAGGGAAAACACTTCTCAGCATCTGTTCTTTGTCTCTGTAGCTCAAGCAGAGGTCAACACCATCGTCAATGGTCTGGTATCTTTCCACTCTACCACCTGCATTCGCTTCGTCTGGCGGACGACACAGACGGATTTCCTATACTTCTTCCCTGGAACTGAGTAAGAACACACCCACACACGCACACAAACGCACACCTACATTAACATGAAAAGACAGGACTGACACATTCATACACTCTCTCTTAATGGAAACCTCTCCCTAGACAAGGGTCTCCATCCTTTTTTACTTGGAGGGCTACTTTGAAAAAAATTTAAGTGGCTGAGAGTTACTCATATTTTATATTGGGCTGCTAGTTATATTTAATCAACTTTCAAAGAGATCTCCAAACAAAACAAGCTGAATAAGCCAACTGTTTTGTGTATCCAGCTTTGAAATATTAATATTTAACACACTTTGTATCAGAAACATAGACAACATCAGTCATCACATCAGACTCCCAAACTGATATGCACCTCCTTTCACATATCATAACCTTATCTTAAAGATTGCATGTACTGTAGCTGTAAAAACAGCGCCAGTATTTGGCAGAGTATCAAATCAGTGCATTGACAGCTGGCAGTACATCCAGTGGTATGTAGCAAACAGCAACTGC